TTTGAAATGTTTAATGCTATGCTTCGCTGAATAATTATATTAACTCCACCTCGCATGAGTTTTACCCGACACATCTCAACATTGCTTGTTACACGAAAGTTCATTCACTGCAGCTTGTTGCAGGAAGACAATTGCGAAGCCTTGCAATTTGATGTTTTTTCCCTCTTTTATGGGAAAACGAGTCTTTGGCATTACACAAAATCATGGTTTATTAATTGCTTTCGTGCTCTTTCCCCTACCCCTGGAATACTCACGCAGTCCTTAACTCTACTCTGTAATTTTATCTTTTCATCTATATATTATCTTTTCATAAAAATTTCTCGCTTAAACATTAAGAAAAAGTTGTTGGAGTGTGCTTGACCTTTTGGTGAAAAAAAGTTCACAAAGATAAAAATACGTAGTATAAAAGAAAAACAAAAAGCTTTTGATTTTGATTTGGACTTCGGCGTTTGAAGTTTGAACTTTGAAGTTTCTCGTGATCGCCCAGTCGCTCTGGCCACCCAAAAAAGAAAAAGAAAAGGGAGTTTCAACTTTCAGATTCGCGACCGCGAGGGTAAAATTGACCTTGGCTCAAACGAAGGCTGTTTTTATTGTTTGGAGAGGTGGGTGGGACATCTCGGTCTTTGTCAGAATCGCGCACGCCAACAAAAAAACATCCTTCCAGCTCCTCCGCCGCCCGCGGTGGTCGGCGCCTTGTTCTGAAGAGACGCCAAGGTATTCCAAACTTCTCTCAACTTTACCTCAAAGCCCTCCTTTTCTCGCCTCCAAACAAGACTCTGCTTTCTTTATTTCTTTACAGCTGTCTATTTACTGCTTTCTTTAATTTTCTTGAGTTCATAGTTCATGAAAGGGCTTTTGTTTTCACATTAATTACTTGACGGGGCAGAGATTGTATGCGTAGTTTATCTCGGTCCCTGAGGTGTTCCTTTCTGTTTGTGGCTTTTGGGTTGAGACAATAAGAGGCTGGATGACGAAATTCTGAAGTATATACAATTAGGATAGATTATTGTGAAAATCTGTTGGAGGTAAAGATTGTGTTGTAACTTCTAATAATCATGCCTAGGTCAATATTGCTGCAAGTGAAGATAAAGGTTTCATTTTTAGGGATTTCAGGTTTTCACAGGCGATTTTTTGACGCCGGAAATTGACTTGATATGCTATTTAGATCATTTTAGGTGTCCTCTGGATCTCTTATTTTCCTTCCACTGTGAATAAAAAAGGCTTATGGATTAATTATGTGAGAGTTGTTTTGAGAACAAGAAGGAATCTGGAAGCTGTCTACGTGTTTGTGGCCTGAGATTTTCTTAACGGCATGTTTAGTTGAGAATAATGGAGGCGAAGAAATGGAAGGAAAAAGTTTCACCGAAGGTTCAAAACCTTTTCGTTTGGCATTCATTTTCGAAGCGGGAAAGATGATGAAAGATATTAATAGTTGTTTGCTTGTGCAACCTGAATCTCCTTACTTAATTTTAATCTGTAATATTGGGTTTATGCCTTGAATTTTGCCTCATTGAATCTATACTTATTGCATACGCTCTATTTTTTGTAGCATTCTGTCATTCCTATAATGACACCAGAACCATCGGAGGAGTTGGAAAAACGCTCAAGCTCAGGGCATCATGTGAGAGGGAATAGTGAATATGTTAGATTGGTCATATCTGATGAACCAAGGGCTACTGAAGCTGAAACATTGCAGCCTCAAGCAAAAACAGGAGTCAAATCTTTTTTATGGTGGATCAAAGTCTTGTCATGGTGCCTTGTGATTATTATACTTGCCATTGTTCTCGTGAAATGGGGGCTTCCCTTTGTTTTTGAGAAGGTGCTTCCTTTTTCATTACAATTATTTTGTTGTAATTGACATATCTCCTCTATGATGTGGGTTTCAATAATTAGACAAAAGCAGTTGATTTTTCCATCTGATCTGCAAATTAATGCATTTACATTTTCTGATTCCATATGCTTACTGATGTTTTGCTCTTTTGAGATGTACTACATCAGTATGAAGTCAATCCGTCTTTAGATAATTTTGGAGAAATTCTTATCTTAGGTAGGCACGGTCTAAACAGAATTTGTGGGCCATGCTAATCATGAAATGACATGTAAGATGTAACTATGTTAAATTCACATTTCATTAATACCCACCTCTTACAAGCTTAAATATCTCCTCAACATTGTTTGGTTTCTATAGATTGGGTTTACTAATCTACTTAATGATTTTTTCCTATTTTAGCTGTAAAATGCGGGAACATAAAAATTGAAGAAAGATAGTGTCCTAGTTCTCTTGGATTGAAGGAAATCTTTGAATGACCGATTCATATTTTGAAGCTTCATCTTTTTTGTTGTAGATTCTTTACCCAATAATGGAATGGGAAGCTACTGCCTTTGGCCGTCCAGTTCTTGCCTTGGTACTCATTGCTTCTCTGGCTTTATTCCCCGTGTTCTTGATCCCTTCTGGCCCTTCCATGTGGCTGGCCGGGATGATTTTTGGTTATGGCCTTGGCTTTGTTATCATAATGGTTGGAACAACGATTGGGATGGTCCTTCCTTACTTAGTTGGACTATTGTTCCGTGACCGCATTCATGTAAGTCTTCATATTTTAACCAATGGCGCTTCATCCCCAGAATTTTGGTTTAAATTGTTATTCTTTTCTTTCAAATAAACATATAAACAGGAGAATATGTGTATGTTGTCTTAATTTCATGATCAACTTTGTTGTGCAGCAATGGTTAAAGAGATGGCCTCAGAATGCTGCACTTATTAGGCTTGCTGGGGAAGGGAGCTGGTTTGATCAATTTCGTGTGGTTGCTGTATTTAGGATTTCTCCTTTTCCCTATACTATATTCAACTATGCAGTAGTGGTGACAGACATGAGGTTTTGGCCCTACTTACTTGGATCAATAACTGGAATGGTTCCAGAAGCTTTCATCTACATCTACAGGTTTGTTCTTTTTCCTTCCTCATTTTTACACATGATATGGTGAAGTTCCTAATGTGTTGGTAATATCAGTTTCTCCATTAAGGATTTAAAAAAAAAAAAAAAAACGTTTGAAGAAATTTCTTGAAAGAACCTCAAAAAATGCCTCAACTTGTCGTGTTTCTTGTGGAGCATCTGGCATGAAACATTCAATAGTTGCATCTAAGTTTCGTCCTTTAATTATGGGGAATGCTTCATTTAGTTGCACACCCAACGTTACAAGGAAAGAAAGTGCAATATGTCAAAAAAGTAAGGAAAGAAGGAAAAAAGATTGATTAATATATGACACTCGCAAAAAGGTCATGTTATTTTCTGACTTGTCAAAGAATCGTATGAAACACAACACGACTTAATGCGTCACATAACTTACGCATCACACTTCAATATTTGTCATGTCGTGCTAATGTCTCTATCCTTACTTTCTTGCTCCATCATGTGATCTTGCCCCGACTCAAAAAAATAATCAAAAGGGATAGGCGTATATAGAATGCTAATGATAACATCATATGCGTTGAATAGCTGATTGTTGTGCAATAGAGGGTGAATCTGCTTCCCTTACACCAAACGCTCGCCAATAAATTGTTCTGTTTTCTTCTAATATGATGAATCAACATGTTCTCTCACATTTGTCAAATTTTGAGCAGCGGTCGATTAATAAGGACCTTAGCTGATGCACAGTATGGGAAGCATCGCATGACGACCGTCGAAATCGTCTACAATGTTATTTCATTCATAATTGCAGTAGTTACCATTGTTGTCTTCACTGTATATGCGAAAAGGACTTTGAATGAACTGAAAATGGCAGAGGCCGCTGATCAGGAAGCTGCCTCTTCTTCTGTCTCGGGGAATGTTGGTTTTGAGATGGAGAAGCTTCCCCTTGAAAGGCCTAAGCAGCACAGTTCCTATATTTCATGATGCTGTTGTATACTGTATGTTAATATCTGTAAAATTTGGTGCAGTGTCAAATTATTATTGTAATTTTGTTTTCTTTTCTGCCTATAATGCGACCTATGATGATAGATAACTTGTAATTACGAAGTGAGATAGCGAAACAATGGCTACAATCTGTTAATATTGTAAGCTAACGAGTAGCTATGCGAGTTCTCAATATGATTCATCAATAATCACTTCGTCAAAATATGTTACCCCGTTGGGTGAATACTAACGCTGTCGTTTTTATTTTATCTCCGGGGGAAAATTACAATGAAGGACTGTCATCTTTTAATATTGGACAAATAAGCAATTTTATTCTTGATTTTAATTGTCAGCTATAATTTTATCTGTAATTTTTTTAGTAGTGTAATTTTATGTATGATTTTTTGTGGGTAAAATTGCATCTAGATTCGGGGTAAAATTGTACAACTAAAAAGAAGGTAAAATTGTACATTTGCCTTTTAATATGCATGGAGAAGCATTATCAATAAAATCAAAAATTGCTGCAAGGTCAGAGAAATATTATTACGGTCAAGACAATTATTATGTATAAAATTAAAAAAGTTAATATAATTTTTAGTCTTTCAAATTTGTTCTTATTTTGATATTGATCTTTTAAGTTTTAAATCATTAGTTTTGGTTCTCAAAGGGTAAAATGATTCATATTTTTATTAAATTATAGAACTAATATTTTAAATAAAAAGAAACTTAAAGAATCAAAACTTATTATTTGAAACTTGAGGGGTTAAGATCAAAATAAAAACAAATATGTGAAACCAAAAATTATATTAATTCAAATTAAAATAAAAAATGATGCAAACTAGGGTGTTTTTGGAAAGTTCACAATGATTTTGAAGAAAAGAACTTTTATACAAATCGAAACAAAACTCATATCTTAGGTATTGTAAAATTATTTTTTTTAAGTGTTATGAGGATGTCTTTTTTTTCGAGAAGTGCTTTTTTGAGTACCCAGGGCAACCATCTACCAATCATTTCTATATTATTATTGTTAAAGGGATGCTGAAGACCAAGGAAGATGTAAATTCTGTATTCACGTCTCAACTACAATGATCCACATAGCCATGAAATAATTTAGACTGCAAGCTTGTTTTCGCATGATGCTAGTGCATGTCTTGTAAGTTGATGATTGCTTCTCGTGAAACCTGAGGAGCTTGGTTTGGCTGCAGGCTGCTTGACCATTTTGTTTGTTGCAGAAGAAGCGGCGGCTCCACCATCTTTGTTTAGTTGACGCCTCCATTCTATCAGAGTATTCTCAAAATGCTCTTCGAACATTCCCCTCTTAAATCCGCTGCCCATCTTCATTAAAGAGACACAAACACAGATTAGATGGGCCTGTTAGTCACAAACATAGCAGATAGGCTTCATATGTTACCTGAGTCACAATTGCATAAAGAGGCAAGGTGCTGTAACTGCAGAGCACTTGAACAATTACACTGCGAGCCAGCAGCAACAAGTGATGAGTAGAGAATGTTATATATGCTTTGCTTCCCCCCCCCCCCCCCAAGCTAATGTGTGTGTGCGTGTGCATATTTCGGATATTACCCCATTATAACTCTCGGGATCACGTAAGCTATTTTCTCCATAATGCATGAATCAAATCCATAGGTGAACTGTAAAGAAATGAGAGAACATAAATGTTAAGAGAAGGAGAAGCAGAAGAATGCAATCTGGTTTACTGTAAGGACTTGGTGTTGTGTTCACTCATGACTCACCCAAATCCAGAAGAAGAATGCAATCTCAAAAGCGTTTTGAAACAAGATGAAGTGAATTAAGTCGAGGACAAGGCGTGGGCTATGGAACCAAAAGAATTTATCAGAAGGCTTCACTTGCTTTGTTGCCTTTTTCTCCTGCTGTTGCTCTGCAGGCCGATACTGTTCCAGTCCCCGTTCCTCTGCTCTCTTCTGATCTGACTCCTGAGCCAAACGGGCAATTATGTGCTCTAACTTGGCCCCCACAAGTAGCAAAATCTGTTGACATCAATCAAACCACCTCAATCTATAACTCTTAAAGAAACTAAATGTTTTAATTCACAGACGTCACAGGTATTTCTGTTATGTCTTGTTTAGCAAAAGGACATTTGGGCTTCTGAAAGTGTAAACCACACACTCCCCATATTTCTTTTAGACTTTTAAATTTAACTAATGATCTTTCTGTAGGTAGTAATGTATTGTTTGTGTTCAATGAGCACAGGAAGAATTTCTGCCGAAAAAGAAAAAACATAGGAAGAATCTTAGTCACTTACTATGAGCGGTAGAAAAGCTAACCAGAAGTATGTGTGCCACCCTGCACAACGAGCTCACAAGTGGTTAATTTATAATTTGCAAGATCTAGTTCGAAGTTCCAACTTTCTAAATTGAACTCTTGCATATCTTCATGAGGACTGCATATTTGCACATTTCTTTTTCATCTGAACGTAATTCATATAGTTCAGACTTTACTATTATTTTGCACTTGAAAAGCAATGCAAAATAAATACATTTTTCAGCTGACACTTCAAAAATAATCATTCCGATATTGAACTCAAATCTAAAGGATTCAAAGGAAATATGAACACTACGCATATCTCTGAACCTGTGTTGTTGAAGATGAGTTATGGCATAATATAGTAGCAGTTCGTTACCTGCAACGTTGAGCAGCAAAAAGAGAACAACGAAGAGCCAGAGATACCAACTGCATAGCACAGAAAAAGGGAAAATAGTTGAAGGAGGCTTAAACATTAAATTTATTGGTGTCAAGTTAAAAAAGTAGGTGTGAGTTGCGGGTCACCTTATGCCCACTACTTTTTTGAAATCAATTTCAAGTGTCTTCATCATGTACTCGTGAAAATCAAATTCTCGTTCGCCTCGCCAATGTTCCTGAATAATTCAGAATGAATATAACAAGTCAACAGCGTGAAAGGAACAGTGGTAGCAAACAAGTCAATAATAATGTAATTAAATGTAAACCTTGATGAATGCCTGCCTCATAGCGATGTAGTCAGATTCAGTAACAGAGCCATAAAATTGCTTGAAGAATGCTATCTGTCACTCAACATGAACCAGAACAGAACTCTTCATCAGTAATAAACAATGAATTTGAGATGCTTTTCTTTATCAGATGGTACGATATTTAAATGAATGCTCTGTCATGCTCGAGTTATATGTTTGTTTTATTTGAAGTAGTTGGAAGAATGATACTCTTAGGGTCTTTAATATAAGACTTATTTAACTAATTTGATTAGATCAAAGAAGTTAGGTAAGTTAGTTAATTATAAGAAATTTGACATATTTTTCCTAAAACTTTATAATCATCTCTCTTAATATCTTCCCTCTTTCTTCGACTTAATTATGATTGAGAGAGTATCTATAAGAGTAATTTAAGAAGAATTAATCAATATGAGAAATAGATCTTATATTAGGACTAAAATCAACTTAATAATTAGGTCTTCTATTAACGATCAGAGGAGTAACATATGCTCATTAAAAACTACTACGAAATCATTTATGCTTATTGTATCTCATTTTCTTGCGTGTCATGTGATGTTTGGCCTTAATTCTCAGACATACCAGCCAACCTACAACAGCCGCCCTCCTCCAAAATCCATCAGCATGCTTTTTGAAGAATTCATGGTGATGTAGATCTTGAATATCTAATTAGAACACAAAAGGAAAGCAGTGTGACATTATAACCTAAATTACAGATCTAGGCCTATTTCTCTCCCGTATTAAAAGTTGAACGTACCATTTTTATTTGCCTTAATATTACGTTCCCAGGTCTTCCATTGACGAATCTGCTCGAGGCAAACAACAAACAAATCATGGAAGGAGGAGCTCAATTTGGTAATCTTCATCACTTGACAGCACATAATTAAGTTTTCTATGCAAGTATGGTATGCAATGCATTACCCTTGCGCTTCCGAGTAACAGTGTGGTGACGCAAAATATGGCATGTACAACAGCCAACACAAAGATGAAGATGTGGAGATGATGCAGTGATTCCAATGACATCAACGGAACCTTCCCCTGCTTTGCCAAACAAGACCAATTTTTACCATTTCGCATCACATATAAGTATAAACCCAAAAATAAATAAAGCAAAACAGAGTAATTTCTTATGCCTCTTTTCTGCAGCTTTCTGAACCATTTGTTGTAGAAAGAAGGTGTCTTGTGTTGATGATAGTGTCATAGTGCTCTGCACCTTTCTCAGACTCACCGTGCCTCTTGCATGGAAGCATGTGGCTTACAAGGTGGGGTGAAATGCAAATGTGGCTTATTACATTTTGGAACACAGTTAATAGTAGGGAAATGAACCCTAAAAGCATCAGCTCTGCTTAACACACGTTAGCCACAGATTGGTTAGCCCAAACAGCCATATAACAGATTTATTTTTCAGGAAAGATAAATCGAGCAAATTATATGATAATTATGTTGGATCTTCTCCCTACTGTATACCGGCAGTTCAGTGACAATTCGGCACAAAATAATGACATATATTTGGGCTCGAGTTGGAGCCTTTCGGTTCATATAAGAGGTGTGCTAAGAAATTATAAACAAATTACCGTCTTTCAGCTTTTGCAAGGCTGCATTGAGTGCATCCTGATGTTTCTTCTTCAAAAACTGTTACATTTAGACCCACAAATATCAACCGGTCATGATACAGAACGGGAAGGAATAAAATGAGCAGTAACACAATCAGAAATTTAAGATCAACTCAATATCATAATACTTTGTAATTTCATCTCCATCGTGGAGTCAGCAAAAACTTGCTGACCACGTTACTTCTTTTAAGAGGCTTTTCCATTAACTGCCTTTTGATTGCATTTAAACGCTCAAAATTTGGGCAAATATGGAGCCCGTAAAACGTCATTCAAGGAATGGAGAAGGATTACAGTAAGTGATTGATACGTACCACTCCAAGCTTATGAAGAGCACGCTCAACGCAAAGAGAGATGAGCACAATGATGGAGCATATAACAGCAACAATCCATGTTGGTGTATATTCCAAGGACTCATTTGGCATTTCTTCCATGTCTAGCTCACAATTCTTGTCGCTGTTTGAAAGGCTTAAAGGAGTTGGGCTGAACGGTGAGCGATACGAGTGTAGGAGATGAGGAGACAGCAATCGGCAGACCTGGGAAGCTTTTGTCTCTTATTACTTACTTGTGATGGCTAAGTTCCATGATCAAACATAAACGGAGAAGCTAAGAACATGAGCATGTTCGAAAAGCAAAAGGATTGTACAGCGATAATGGAGTTGGCGGAAAAAAGGAATCAGATTCGGTGTCCATCGTAAGTAAAGCGCAGAATACTCCTTTTGGAAAATTATGGTGTGTTTCACACCCGTTTCCATTACATAAAATAGAAGGAAAAAGAAATATTTATAGCCATATCAGAAAACACACAAGAAGAGACATTATTTGATGCTTCTTCATGCTCACTCCTTAAATCTCGAGAGTCTAAAGGTGATTTCAAAATATCTACGCTTTATTCTATGGAATCCAAGATGCCTCATATTATATTAAATGAAATATTAAAAAATTCTCTTACCGTCCAAAATCATAGGAAGCGTACATTCTTTAAGTTCTAGCTCTGCTAACAGACCAAAATATTATATTTAATACTCCTCCGGTCCTAATTATAAGACCCAATTGACTTATTTGAGGAGATTAAGGAAGTGAGTTAAGTTGGTTATTTATAATAAATAAGTGTTGTCATTCCTAAAATATCTTTGCTAATTAAGTATATTGGTTAAAACTATCATTATTAAAAGGATTATCTTTGAAAAAAAATGCATAAATATAAGAGACAAAATGGATTGGGTCTTATAATTAGGACCAAATAAAAAGTCAAATTGGATCTTATAATAAGGACCGGAGGAGTACAATTTTCAATTATCGCACCAAAAACGAAAATCTTGCATGTTATGAATCTTATAAATATTATGCCATCTAAGATCCTAAAAAAAAGAAAGAATGATTATCCTGCACTAAAATCTCTTAAATTTTATAGTGTAATCTTCAAAATACAACTTTGGCAACTACAACGATTCACACAGGTTCACCTCTGCAGAGCAGGACTCAATTTTAGGCTTCATTAAGGAAATTTTGAGGTCACTGAACTCATGGAAATCACTCGTACGGTTGCCCAAAATTGTGTCCTACGGTACAGGAAATAGCATCACTTTAGCTTGTGAATGCGCAGCACAGATTCACTGGCACACCACTAATTTAAAACAACTCAAGGACAATTTTGCATCATGCGGAAGAAGTAAGAAGATTTCACAAGAAAAGTTATTTAACATGTGAGAGGATGAAGTTAGAGTTGACTGTCAATATTTGACAGAACTGCGGAACATTTAACAATTGAGTCCAGAGAATACAATATTTAAAACATACATACATCCATGCATACATATATGCATACCGTGTACAACCAAAATTTTAAACACGCTCTCAATCAAGTGACACTGATGGGTTCTTCACTGCTATCCTGAGCTGACTATTGGCCCAGACAACGAGACAAACTAGGTCTAATTCCATCTGTTGATGTCCATCCAAACCTTCAAAGTTTCTTAAATTTCGCAGTTGGTGGATGACTAAAAATCATCAGTTCATTCAAGTCCTTTTGCTTGCTTATTGAAGAAAGAACATAGACGACATCTCAGGGCTTCCATGGTGCCGGAGGTGGAGGCGGCGAGGGAAACATTGGGGGAACAGCCGAGAAAATAGTATTCTTGTCTATTCCAGCGCTTTTGCCACCTGACAGTGCCACAAGAGCAGCTGCTAAGCCCGCGTTTCCTGCAAGCGTTGGTTCTGTGTAGTTATAGTTAGTACGAACATCATGGAAACCATCATGCTTGTCAGGGCCAGCGACCATAGCTCCAACAAGTGTATTGGGGTTTGGCCTTGAAGTGTCCCTCCATTTCCATCCTCCCGTACAGCTATACCTAACCTTATTCTTTGGTATGGATGCACCTCTGTGGTGGACATGTTTCGGATAGCGATTTCCAAAACCCACAATATAGCTCATCTTCCGAGGATTCTTCCCAAGGATGTAGTCAATCTGCAAGAATACCGGCAAGAAGTTGGATCAGCGGAAAAGTCAGATCCCAAACATGGTGCGTAAAGGACCAGAATGGGACGCACCTGGGTCTTGGCAAAGTCCCGAAGAACATCAGTCGAGAAGAAATTGGGTCCACAATACCATCCGGGAGTATCGGCAGCATCAAGATAATCACTATAAAGGGTAGCCAGAAAGGCTGCGTTAACAACATATTGAAGAGGCTGGGGATTACCATGGTTCAACTGAATCAAGCCCCCTGATAAAGACACTCAAGTTAGAATAACAAAATTGAACGTCATGAATTTCTATGTCCAATCAAAGTGTTTGAAGGAGAACAATCTTTGCCTTTAGTTCTGTTAAAGCTTGTGAAAACTGGCAGGTACGAGCACATTACTATGCTTGTCTGGTTGTGAAACGTCCTTAAGATCTCCTCGTAAGGATATCCAGGGCTCAAGAACAGCCTCAAACGACTCAAAAGAACCTAATAACAATAAACAAGATTGAGAGGCAGATTAACAAGTTCATCGAGCATGGTATAAGAACGAAGCTGCATGGAAGTACCTGAGCACCAGCAAGCTTGTTATCCCAGCTCAGTACACCGTAATCAGAGCCTCCCCAGAAGGCACCAGCATGCTTGGCCAGGCCAGGAGTAGTAGCAAGTTTTAGATAAGAGGAGTTTCCAGTTGCAAAATACATCCAAGCCCCTCCCCACACAAACTCATCCCAGTAACTGGAGGAATTGTAGAATATTGCAGCTTCCGAACCACCCGCACTGTATCGGCCTCTTTCTTCCCTTGCAAACTGAAACAGCGTTGTGGCACCATGAACAAGTTTCTGCGAATAAACCTTTTTGTCTTTGAAAACAATGGATGCAGAGGCTAAAGCAGCAGCCATTTCTGCTGCAAGATCTGAACAACTGTGACATTCTGTTACAGGCCGATCATAATCAATGTCCTCTGGGCGCATCCAGCAGTAATGGTCATTCGGAGTTGTACTCCCTCCAGAAGTATCCCCTGAGCCAACCTGCCAAATTAAACAGATACTTGAAATTTTTTCAAATACATTGCCCGGCATATTTTCTATATCACGGAAGAAAGCATATTGCTTACTTGTGCAACAAGTGTGGTTATGGAATCAGCAGAATTATTGAAGGTTTTGAGAAAGTAATCTGTCCCCCATTTAATTATCTCCAATACGTGGTCCAGTTCGCCAGCGGCTTCATACTTTGCTCTGTATTCAATTACGCTCCAGCTCAGCATGGTCATGGCAAAAGACGCAGGAAAATTGAACTTGATTGCATCTCCAGCATCATAGTAACCACCCACCAGATCCTTAATAGTTGATGATTCTGAATTGCCATCTTGCAGACATGAGTTACCTCTCCATGATACATTATTATGTTTGGGGAGTTTTCCCGCTGCAGACAGAACAAGACGGGGAAAATAAATAAATAAATTTTTCTTAAACTTCAAAAAAATAAAAGATGCTTTTATATGAGTATAGCGAATCCGGGATCCTGAATTATTCTATAGATTATATAGAATCCATGAGTAGAGTGAAGGAATTTATTTTTAGTCACCATATAATACGTCATCTCATAGACGCTCATCATGCATGGAAATAGACGTCAGTATGTTTATCCAAATTCGCATCATACAAAGAAATACTAACAGGCTAAAAATAATAATAGATTAAATCGCAAAACACCAAGTTGAAAGAAAGAAAGAGAGACTGCCAACAAAAACAAAAACCATAGAGATGCACTTCGTCAGGTTAGGACAGAATACTTGTTGCACTTAAATGGTTAATATTGTGTCGCAGCTTCTGCATGGTGTTGTATGAGCATTAGTATCAGTCCTTATTAGTTGAAGTAAAAGCAGTAGCAGGAAAATGCAGCAACAAAGGTTATTTTACTCACATCTTTGAGCGTTAAAGAACATAAGGGCCTTTTGGAGGGCTAAAGTATAGTTATCAGGAGGACCATGCTTGTGATGGTGGCGTGGGACGGTCTTGACGATAAGGGTGATGAAGCCAGCTAAGAAGGCTGATACCAGAAGCGTACCAACCGTCCAAACAAAGATCTTACGGCTAACGATAATGCAACCGAGATCCACATACTTCTTCTTCTTCTGCTCGGTCGGCCCCAGCAGCCAGCTTTGCTGCGTCTCATCCAACGGTCGAGACAGAGCGGCTCTATCGATATCTTGCATGTTCCGGCTCCGATCATCGTCCGTGGCGGAGTCCGTAGCATTAATCTCGAGCGGGCCACCCCATGGATCCCTCCCGTACATACTCATCTTGAATGCTGGTTTTGATCCTCAGGCGGAAGCCACCACCGACCGATATATGGAGTCAGCTAATGCCAGCGAAAGCTTAGAGTATAACATACACAGATAAGCAGTAAAGGCTAAAGACCCATCAAAGCAAAACAAATAATATCAGCACAGAATATCTCTGAATCTTTCCGGGCTGAGACTGGAAGCGATGTGCACAGCCGATGAGCTAATAGGTATATGGGTTACACCAACCGTCAATCTGTTGTTGTTCTGTCATGTTTGATGCTTAGAGCAAGCTAATAATTAATTAAGAAATAGTTGAAAAGGTTTTGAGCATTTTCTTGGTATGGCGGTGCTTGGTAATTAAGGTATGCTGTTCATACTTTGGTGCTTGGTAACGTCATGTGGTTGAGACTTTGCTTTCGTCCTAGACCATTTTCCCTCCTTTTAAGACCAATTTCATATTGAACTAGAAGTCCAGAATAATTCCATTCTCTCCTGTTTTTGAAACAATAACAATATTACGCAGCCCAAATATGTTATCAATTTTTTTTTAAGAAGATCAAAACTAAAATTTTAAAACTTGCATGTGAAAAATTTGAAAACAATTATGCTTTTAAAAAATTTTAAATTTGAATGTTAGGTTTTGGTCATAAAATATTTCTGTTTGATAATTTAAGAAATAAGGTTGAAGAGGCTGACCGACCAACTGGTGCGTTGAGAGACAATGACAGTCCATCTATAGTCCAAATCATCCACCTCTGTTTTTCTTTTCTGGAATAAATATATTTTTCTTCTAAATCTTAGGACCAAAGTTTTCCATTTTGAAATTTTGAGGGAGGAAGGTGTCATTGGGACTCCTAAATGGAACCAAAGTGTTGTTTTCTTAATTAAATATCAGTTTTGTGAAAAATAAAGTTAAAACTGTCAATAAATGTTGTTGGCCTAGTTTTAAAGGACTGGGCCGTGATAACCTAAATGAGTTGGCACTTTAGAGCCTATATATCATAAATACTAGTAAAATAAAGTGTCAAGGTATTTTTCAAACTCTCAAAGCTAATGCAACTTATACCTTCAACACTAAGGGTGCATTAAAAAACCTCCAGCACTGATAAACTATTGTTTGAATTTGAAAAGGACAAACCTAAATAACGAATCCAAAAGATAAAAACCAAGCAAATAATTAACTAAAGATTAGCAGCATCAAATTCTTCATTACAAGTAGGCTTTTCTTCCATGGCAAAAATATTCTGTTTCCCTATGCTCAGCATTCGTTTGCGCATTAACCTCTGAGATTGGTTCTCTCTTTCATTCGGGTCGTTCACTGCTGAGCCTTATGGTTGCGTTGTAGGGCCAAGCATCTGCCACAATGAAAGCAAATATAAAATACAAATGCAGGTCTTCACACTCAAGAAAGAACGTCCTCTGAATATACAAGTTGTGTAGTAAACGACAATAGTTGTAGATCAAGCCCATTGCGGACCCTGGCAAACCTTCCTCTTCATTTCGTTGAAGTCAACCTTGAGCGTCCTACCAATCACTCCTCCCATCCTCCAAAGCGATTCCTAGATGTAAAATCCGTTTGAACGCGTACCCAAGCCGCGATTTTTTACTCTTTTGTTAATATATTAAAGAACTCGCAATTCAAGAGATGATTTTAATTATTTATCCATTGCTGCCGGATTTTATTTTCAATAATAATAACAATAATAATATATTATGATTTGACATAATCACTTTATTTTGTAGACAAGGCGTCCTTAAGAATTTTCTATACATTAGGCCATAGGCTTGCCAAAACTAAGTTTGCTATTACACATAACTACTTGGATTTATATTTAGGAGAAATTAGGGAAAATTCCTCATTTGGAAAAAATATTGATAAATAAGACCTGAAAATTTGTTAGCTTTTGAGGTCCTTCAATGTAAATAAATGTCATGGTAAAAAGATCAAAGTATCTTTAACTGCACAAACTGGAAGTTTAGTTTTTTTTTTTTTTATATACACAAAAGTTTAAGTGAGTTGGGTTCCAGGGATTCATCAAAGTCAGAGTATGCCTCCAGGCTCAAAGAGCCCTTACAGAGGTACTTACAGATCGCCCACCAATAAAATTCTCATATCGGCAGCGGAATTCGAATTCATGATCTTATAGGTTATGAGCGGACTCCTTACCAAGTAAACCAACTCTTGTTAATCAAAATGGAAGTTTAGTTGCACAAAAGGAATATATATATTGTACATTACTAAAATTTGATTGCAACTAACCTAAGTTGCACATGATAAAAGATAAATTGCACATAACGAATATTTAGTTTCACATAAAGAAGATATATTGCATATGAGAAAAATTTAGTTGCATATAAGAAAGATATATTGCACGTTAAAAAAAGTCAATTGCATTTAACGTATAAGTTGCAATAATGGAAGATAAAATGCATATATGAGAACTTAGTTACACATAAAAAAGATATATTACACATAAGGTAAGTTAGATTGCACATAACATGCTTTGAACATAAGTGCAATATGTGCAAATTATACCAGGTGCAACTAAACTTTCCTTACATGCAATATAATTCCATGTGCATAATTAAACTCCTTGTATATGTAATTTGTCTTCTATTATGTGCAATTTAGGTTAAGTGTAACTAAATTTTTCTTAGGTGCAATATATCATTCTTGTGTGCAAATAAATTCTTGGTTTATGCAATTTATCTTCCATTATATGCAACTTAAGTTGTGTGCAATCAAACTTCCATAATGTGTAATATATCTTTCCTACATGCGACTAAATTCTTAGCCTGTGCAATTTATTTTCTATTATGTGTAATTGAAGTTAGGTGCAATCAAACTTCAATAATGTGCAATATATTTTTCCTATGTGTAACTAGACTTCCTGTATATGCAACTCATTTTTCATTATGTTTAAAACATGTCATGTACCATCTAACTTCCCTTACATGCAATATATTTTCATTGTGTGCAACTAAATTTTCTATATGTGCAATTTATCTTCCATTATGTTCAAAGTATGTTGTGTGCAATCTAACCTGCCTTAGGTATAATATATCTTTTTTATATGTAACTAAACTCCCTGATGCATTTTATCTTCCATTTTGTGCCACTTATAAATTAAGTGCAATTAATTTTTTTCTTACATGTAATATATCTTTCTTTTGTGGAACTAAATCTTTGCTCTGTGCAATTTATCTTCATTAATATGCAACTTAGGTTAGGCACAATCAAACTCTAATAATGCGCAATATATATTTCTTATGTACAACTAAACTCTCAATCTGTGCAATTAAGGGTATTTTGGTCTTTTCATTATGAAATTTATTTATATTAAAGGACCTCAAAAGATGACAAATTGTCAGGTCCCATTCACCAATATATTTTTCAAATAGGACTTCCCCCCAATTTTTCCTTATATTTACATACAACCATACCAATAAATAAATAAATAAAAAGGTTGAGATGCAAGTTTGTCCTTAAAATTTAAAACCATAACATTATTATTTCCTACCACAAAAAATATTAATGGTTAATGTCTCTATTTTAACAGCCAATGTTAATTTTTCAATAGGAGGAGACATTATTACTATAATTTTAAACTTTCAAGACAAATTTGAATCCAAAAAATTTCCCGATCGTCGGCACTCCTAAATGAAAGTTTTCAGAATAAATTTACACCTTAACCCATAAAAAAACCTAAATGAACAGGGTGCATGCAAAAAAAAAACAACTGCTGTTAAAAACACACACACACACACACACATATAAATAAATAAAAACAACGCTGAGAAGCTGCAATAACACCTGTGCGCGCGTGCGTGCGCGCGCTTTTGACATGAAAGATCAACTTCTTATTGAGAATTGCAGTTTGAAGCTAGTCCACTTATATACAATATATATACTTGAAAGGATTGCAGTACGAGCTTCCCATACAATATATAGTTATTTACAATATAAAACTCCAGACATTCTTGTACCTCACACAGACAACCTAAGCCCATCATCACTAGTGACTTGAGTATATATTACCTCCACTCCAAAGGATACTCCTAAGTATAGCATAATTTATACTACAAACTAAGTCTAGTATTTTTACAACACGAAAACGGATCGCCCAACTTGCAAGGAGGGAGCTACAGATCGAAGCTATGGCTGTTAAAATGGAAGATGGGATGATGGCGTTGTCTTGTTATGCTGTGATACCTGATTTCTTGGGCAACAGTAGACTGAAGCGCTGGAGGACCACACACTATAACTCCCACATCAACATGGCCCCATTTCTCTGATACCCATTCAAATATTTCTGCACCAGCAAGATGAGATTCAGCATAAGCTCATGGGCAATGTGGATGCGTGCGTTTAATAGAGTATTAATTTAGGATGTATCGTTTATACTTCAACAATAATTAAACTTCATTCAAACATACCTTTAAAGTCTGGTCTCGAACCATATCTAGTGACAGTTGAAATTGCAGCATATTCCTGACTTGGATCCTTGGGAATTGCAGTCCCGTTTTGCTCAATTTTCTCGGCCTTCATATTTGTATTATTGGATATTTCCTTTGCACAACTTTGCTTTTCCCAAATATGCCACAAACCAACCACCAGACCACCAAAGATAACAACACTTGCAACCATGCAGGCCACAAAAAGTAGCCCTTTGTACCACCATTTTCTTACACCAAATGGATTTATGTAGAAGACGTTCAACAAACCCAATAAGATCACAAATCCCACAGTAGATGAGATAACATATAGTCCAGACCATATGTTGTCTCCAGTGCCAGCCAAAACAGACATGCCACGAACACTGGGCAGAGGACAGAGTGAAGACCTCATTGGCTTGTAAACACATCCCTCTTCCTGAAGATAACAACAATAAATACCATTAAGTGGTGATAAATTAAAAACGCAAAGATGGATTCCTAAACTCAGTCTTCAAAAGATATAAATATTAAAACAATCATGAAGGAACACAAGGCATATCACCATTCAGCTGGATAGACCTCTTATTTGTATCTTGATGATTACAACTTACAACCTCTCAATAATATAAGCACTGGTGGAAGAATGCAGTGGCTAACCAGGAAGCTAGACTCACCAGAGGAGGTTCCGATTCCCGAGTGACATAAATGTGGATATCAATATTAACTTTCTCAGCAAAGAACGGACAGATTGCTTCCATGTCAATGCTCGAAAGAAGTGGAAGTTCATTGGATTTTTTTACTGCCCAAACAAGTATAATTCTTTTTGGTAGACAGGGTTTTCCTTCCCTTACGCGATGGAGAATATCACTCAATACTGCAAGGAAGGGTGAAAGTCCAATACCACCAGCCACTAAGATAAGATTTTCATACCTAAGAATACAAAATGGCCACATCACTTTGTCAGTCGAACCATAAATAAAAGTTTACTTTTCTCAAAGTTTATGTATCCAGTGACTAAATATATCAAGGTGCATATTAATTATCGTATGCTCAAAACTGAAAATACATAAAGAAAGGCACATACATCAGGTGATACGGCACTTCATGTCCATATGGCCCTTCGACGGAAACTTTTACCACAGACGGTTCTTTCAGTGCTTCAGCTTCAATTATTTTTTGTCTCAACTTTTCTGTCCATTTGCCCAGAACCTTTATCAGAACAGCAAGATGATACTTTCCATCCAAGGGGCTAGAAGAGACACTGAATGGATGCCACTGCAGCCATGATAATTCTCGGACTTGAATGAAGATGAAACTCAGGGCATTGTATCTCAGATCTGCATTTTTAAAAAATATATTGTCATCGGTATGGCATTGATACAGAGAAATGAGGGCAAAATATTAAGGATTAGCATACTTACTTTGAGGCTTTGACACAACCAATTCCACTGTTCCACAAGGAAGGCACTTAGCTGAGACTACATTAACGGTCCTTCGGGATTGGCAGAATCGCAGAAAGCGATCAAGCACAAAAAGAAATATTCCCCCGGCAGCCATAGTGAAAATGAAATCACCAACGTGCAAAGCCAAAAAGACAACGAAGACCACATATAATTGATGAGTGTAGAAGAACAACTCAAAATTCCATTTCCTCACTGGAGAAAAAGAGGTCACCCACATCAGCAAACCAGCTATAAGGCTGATAACTCCCGGAAGATTAGCAACACCAATATCTTTCCACTGAATCAACTGCAAATGGGGGCCCAATATTGTAAAGGGACGTAAATATTTTGATTGATGAAGCCAACATATTTGAGCAGAACATAGATTTTACAGGAGAGATAAGGCTTGTTGTTGTATAGATTTCACTGGAGAGAAATTTGTACTCAGCAGAAACAGGTATGTCAAAGCAAAGCCACCTTTTGAGCAATCTTACTTATAGGCGACCAAATAAAGATTCAGAATGAGACTGCTTTTTACCCACCATGTTTTCATTGCAAAAACAATGCTAGCAGACATGCCAAGCAAACCTATATCATTTTAAGCGCAAACGGCAGCAAGAACAAAGTTTTCCATATAATGAGTGATTAACTGAAATTTGGTTTAGAATTAATCATCTCTGGTCATGAGGTTATGGTTCAAGATCAACAAAAAGGTAATTGGATGATAGTAGAATACGCAATGAGTGCTAATTTAGCAAAAATATACCACGGAGGGCTTATATTATTTTACATGTGCATAAATCACTCAAGTCTCATCATTGCTTAGTTATATTTTACATTCCACTTTGGCCCTAATCAATGGATAAGATGGTTTGTTTACTTCAGGAATGAAGAAAAATGGAAGTTTCAGTCAGTAACAAACAAACGACACATAAAAAAGGAAAAAAGGGAAAGAATTCCTCTGCATCTATACATTCCATATTTTTCTTTGTGAGAATATTCAAGCAAAGATATTTATACAGAAGACTCACTTCTTGCATTAGTCGGCCATCCATTGCCCATGCTATGACATAGAAAAGTCCATGAAGAGTAAAAAGCACCATGGTCAGGTGTCCCAGCCATACATGATATCTTGTAGCATGCTCAAAAGGGATATCTATAAGGCGGAGAAGAACAGAACCCCTTGAAATTGGAAGAAATAAAAATGCTAGGCAATATAATCCAATCGAACCAAGGCGAAGCCCCAGAATTTCCAACATTATTATGCTGAAAAAATCAAAGTTGGAAAGTCAGATAATCATTTTCTTCACGATAGCATAATATTTGAAACCTAGGCAGTGTTGTGAAAGATTACAAGTTTCTACGCCAAATACCTGTACAATATTTAATTAAATCAACATCATAACCCTTGTGAGTACAACAATAGAACATCCCAAATTAGAAGCAAGAGAAGGGAGCACTTGGAAACCATGTCAAGACTCCTATTCAAGGAAGCAGCACAAGGCACTTTGCTATATTGCTTATATTTTACAGTTACAGAGAAATGATATCAATGAATAAGATTTGGCCACCTCACTTGAATGCATAAAGTCTTCATTGACATATACATAGGTTTGTTAGAATTTTGATTAGTCATTGTTCATTCTTTTTCCGTATCTTGGGAGAAGGCTTGTTCTGGATCTCTGGCTGAGACAGGAACTAGACGCTGCTAATAGTTACTGCTCTTAGATTCGTATCCTCCAAGCTTAAATTGAAACTAGACCCTACTAACAATGTAGCCTTCAGTAGTTTATATACATGTTAAGCACTAGAAAGAATTTGTTGGACTATTTTTTGGGCCCCTTAAAGCTTTTTCACACACAAAACCGGAAAATGAGGAAGCAACTTGGATGAGAACTTATTGAATATTTATCATTTTAATATTTAAATAATTATTTTATATAAAATTATGACAAAATGCACCACAGCTTACAATTAACAGGAAATGACATTCAAATGAAAGGGGATGATCAATTGCACACGAAATCGTGGAAAGTATGCCTCTGGACGACAAGGCCGGTAGGCGTATCATAGAATGATTTGAAAAGCTCAAGACTGTCAAGGAGAATTACATATAAAAAGCTTAAGCTAAAGCATGTTAAGAAATGTTAAATTAAAGAGCATCAATTGTCGAATGAGGGCCCATGAAAAAAAAAAAAATTATAATCTACAACAAAGTATAAGAGGAAAACCAGAGTCCTCCACGAGAAACTAAATGGACAGAAACATGTGATGCAAAATAGTAAGTGCCAGATAGAGGTGATGGAAAGGCACCTAGATCAAGAACTCATACTTCCATAGTTTTAATTTACCTCTTTGATTTAAAGTAAAACTGGTCGGACACAAATTCAAGGGCCCTCACGGTGTAAGCATAAACAGCCCATATAACATATGCTGAAAACAGGACAATCCCAATGAACTCCGTAGCAGAAACAACCCCGAATGGTCCGTCCACTAGCACGGGAAATGTCCATAGTCGGAAACTTGGCCGCTTGGGATTCTTCTTCCTGCAAGGCAAATTCCGTATAATTTCATACGCACACAGAGGAACAAAAAACATCAAATGTTAACATTACCGGGGAAAAGAATTTACTCCTCTCGTTCTTAATATAAGACCTCATTGTTGAGTTGGTTTTTGTCTTAAATAAAAGACTCATTTATTATATTTATCAATTTTTTCTAAATTATCTCTATGATACTTCCTCAAACATAATCAAGTAAAAGAGGAAGATGTATTAAGAAAGATGATTACAGTGTTTTAAAAAAAATATACCACGTTTCTTATAATTAACTAACTTACCTAACCTTTTTAATCTAATCAAATGAATTAAATGGGTTTTATATTAAGCACAGGAGGAGTAATTTCGAACAAAATCCACGTACGCCTGACTTTTAAGAGAAAACACGTTTTTTTTTCCCGTCTTGTACTCTGGACTTCGTTTTGCTTTCATTTTCTTCAGTCAGATATTCGCAACTTGTGGGGTCGAAATTATTAGCGGGAAATAATATAAAATATTGTAGCAAGCCAATTGATGATGGAATCATCTATTGGCAGACTAAAATCTGGTTCAACATATAGCTATTTTCAAGCAACAAATTGGAAAAAAAAAAAAAACAAAGAAAAGAAAAATCACGTACTCGTGAAGCTTCTCCTCCCCAGAAACGATTAGGTGAGCAATGGCGAGGAACGAAATAATAAGAATTGGACCGCTTAACAATAGAAAAATGCTTCCTGCACCATATGTACAGTATTTTTTCAGCCTCAAATTCAAGCAACATAAACCATCATCGGAAAAAAGCAGAGTAAACTAACCTGTAATTCCAAAAGGGGTTCCTTCGGTTGCACGAATCCATCTTCGGAACAGCAAGTCATTGAAAAATTCTGCCGGCAGCAGAAATATTACAGCTACCCATGCAATGAAAATCACCCAAATCAAGGACTTGAGAGTCCATTTAGTAGCCGATACAAAAATGGAGGTCTTCTTGGTATCACCACTTTCAACAGCTGCAGGAGAAAGCAATGGAGTCTGAACTGAGTGATTATTTTCCATGGATGGACGGAAATTGTTTGAGAACCCTGATCCTCACCACGCAGGGCCCGTTGTTATAAACGAGGATGGAAAAGCAGCCAAATTTGAGTGGAACCCACGGCCAAAATGCGGTCAGAAAATCAACTGGACAGAGCGCGCACCAGAACCACATAAATAAAATGAATTCCATCCGGAAATAACAGAAGCGGAGTCTGCCAGTGTGACTCCGGTGTGAGTTTCTGGTGTTTGGATTAATTTTATTGAGGTCCACATAAATGCATGAGAAGATAAAGAAGATAAAATTTAATTACAACCCCTCATTTGGTTGCTGTATGTACCTGTCGGATCAATATAATTTATCTTTTAAGGATGACCTTTTTAACTGGTGTCTTTCTGCACTAGTGTAGATGTTAAGTACACATTTGTAGTTAAGTTAATCGTCAATGCTAACTAGCAATTCTTCTTACAATGGTTATGTGTGTGTATTGAAGTCATGCAACATTATATTTATATTATATTTGTTCCCAAAATATTTAGCTGTTAGATTAGATCTAACGAGATGCTTTTGAGCATGATTTAAAACTCTTTCGGTGGATCGTATGAGATTCAATAGTATAGGAACTACTAATACAGGGCTTGGTAAGATAAAATCTAACAAAGAGTTGATGTGTGTAACACGGGGAGGGGGTCTCTTAGTGTATGAACCCACACACAGGTAAAAGATAACGGTTAGAACGGTGGAAGTTAGTTGCACCATGAATCAAGATACTTTTTCCACTCTTTTATTGCCATATTTTTCTTTCCCATCCAGTTTTTTTTTTTTTTTTTCCCTTTTCCGAAGTCATAATTCACACGCACATTAATGGTTTGGACTCATAATTTTACTCTTAAACTCCAAGCAGGATCCGGTAAACTCCAAGCAGGACGGTAGTGCCATTCAACTAGTCTCACTGGTCCATAATTTATGTCACTTTTAAAACGAAAATTTGATCCAAAATATAAGTTATTTGAACAACATTTAATACTTATTTGTTAATTTTATCTCTACAATTAATACTTAAATATAACTCCTTGTCATAACCTTATTTAATGTGACTATAATTAGGAAAAAAAAATTTAACTTGCAGCAGATTTAATGAGTCAACTATCATTTTATTTAAATTAATAAATTAATTAAAATGACTTGTGAGTAAAAAGTCCAACATGATTACAAGGTCGCTGGGTGAAAGCACGACCGTGACCCTGAAATAATAGAAGCCCCACGTCCCCAGTCGATCCGAGCACCTTCCCCCTGTGGTGTACAAAACCTACAAGTGGACCTCCTTCTCCCACACGTGTCAATTCATCTCCAGTCCCTTTCTCTGTTAATTATCGTAATCGGTCTTCGTCAAGTTAGCCTATATTGTGCTATTTCTCATCCATTTATCTCAATTTTTAGCAAATGGTATTATTTGTGGTGAGTGATTCAACTTTTTTTTGTTTTGTGTGATAAGCAAGATTCAACTTAATTTTGGGTTAAAATTTTGAAAATTACAATTACTTTCAAAAATTAAAGACAATGTCAAGTTACAATTAAATTTTAAAAAATTGTTATTAAAATAATAAAAAGTGTTGAAAATTTGATAATTGTTAGGTTATATATAATCCACCCCTGATAAATTAGAGTTATATAAAACTAAGTAAGGATGTTCTTAGGATAGGAGAAGAATAGAACCAAGATGGACCCATCCCAATCTAGTCCCAATGAATAAGAATGAAACGTGATTTTCATTCCATATCTCATTTTGTCTTGAAGTCATCTTAGTCTCATTGGGATTGGAAAATCCTATTCTACTTGTTGCCCAAACCATTATAATTCTAGGTTGGGTCTTTACTTCTATCTCATAATATTTATTTTTAATCGAGCTTTTGAAGATAAAAATACTAAAAAAATTATTATAGAGAAAACCTAATTACATAATGTAAAATTTATAGTGCAAAACCAATAATGAAAAAAAAAAAAACAAACACAAACACACACACACACTATGTGATGGCTTCATGGATTATTTCATTCAGGAAGAAGATTTTGTTAAGATGCCACTGCAACTTAAAACCTGAAAATTATTGTATGAAATAATAATTATTAATATGTGAACTAAATAATTTAGGGTTAAGAGTCAAAAATACCCATAAAAATATATCAAAAGTTCACACAACACCATGAAATTTTTTTGGAATCAAATTTAGCAATCCAAGTTTTAAAAAAGCCCAATAACGTCAACCATTAAAATGCACAAACATTCGTTACTTTTGTAGTGTGACTTATGATATTTTTAATGAAAGTATCAAACATAGCCCCAATTAAAACCAAAAAAGTTAACTTATATTCACCAAACAGCATATCATTTTAAAGGACTAAGGTGCAAAAATACCCATCAACTTTTTTCAAAAGTGCACCAAATGCAATATACTTTTTTCATGTGCAAATTTACCCATCAATGTTAAAAACTTAGCAAAAATAACACTACCGTTGTTCCCAATTATGTTGACCATAGATGCATATGTGGCCATAATAATATTCTAGTTGGCAGTAGGAAAAAAAGTAAAACTAAAAATGATGCTAGTTAATATTATTTTATCAATTTATTAATTTAAAAAAATTTTAAAAATTTGTGGATTTCTATTAATGCACTTCCCACTCTCTCTTCCTTTCTTCCATCTCTCTCGATCCGTGACCCTTCCTCTCTATCTCCCCATATTCTTCGAACCTTTCTTCCATCTTTCTCGATCCATCACCCTTCCCCCCTGTCTCCCCATATTCTTCAAACCCTAGAGACTATGGTGGCATACTCCACCAATAGCGGTAGCAGTGAAGGTGTAGACGATGGCAATGACAGAGTCTTGACAACGATGACATATTAGAGATACCTAGACCTCTCTCAATTTTTTTGACCTATCTACCCATTTTCTTCACATAATGTGTCTATGGTGACATCCTCCAGTGATGATGGCGGCGGTAGTGAAGGTGTAAACGATGACAACAATGTGGTCAAAGATGCCTAGATCATTAATGCGTTGTAATGTTCAAAATTTTATTTTTAAATTTAAGTTGTATTAAAATGAGATTAATTAATATATATTTAAAATTTTAATCATTTACTGCCTAAATTATAAATCATAAATTTTGTGATAAATATATATAAATTCATAAAGAGAATAAATAAATGATAGTTAAA